CAATGATGGTGCCAACTTGGGCCAGTGAAGCAACGTCCTCCACAACTAGACTGAAGAACAAAAGGATAGCAACTTGTCTGTTCCCCTCCCCAATTCCCCAATAAAAACCTTTAAAAAACACACAAAAAAACCCCCCCGAATTTCACAAACTGATTAAGCAGAATTTTACTGACACACCAGTGAAGAGGTTTACAGGTTAAGTTTGAGCCAGATACTGTCTGAATCCCAGCTTCTTGATACTGGTTGTGTGAGCTTGGTCAAGTTCTGTAACCTCTCTGTGCCTTACTTTCATTATCTGCTACAAGGGGTAACAGGTAAAGAAATGAATTCATTTAAAGCACTTAGAATGCTGAAACATACTACAGACACAATGTTAGTTACTATTGTTATTAAAAGTGCATTAACAGATCCTCCTAACTCTGAATGTTGCAGGATCCTGAAAAGCTTCATGAATCATAAAAATTGTGGTCAGTGAAAAGTATTTCTTTTATTGTATTCTAATTCTTTGCAAATTGATGATCCAGGGAATATCAACAGTATACTAATAAAATTTATTTTACAAGTTGATTTTTTTAGCATCCAAAAGGTATTTTCCCCATTTAAACACTACTTACTGTGACTGAGCCAGCTAGCTGCCTCCCTAGGATCCTTTTTTCCTTCTTCCTCATTGACGAGTACAAATTTCATTCCGGATGGCAGGGTACAGGGTAAGGACTACGTTTCTGGCCTTCATCCCAGCTGGGATGCCGAAAAGATGTAAACAGATATTACGGAACAGGAATTCCAGGAAAGGCCCTGCACGTAGGCTCACTTAGTCTTTCTGCCCCTTTCCCTCTTGCTCTGGGTCTTGATCATGGACTTGATGTCTGGGCCTCTGATAGCCACCTTGGACCGTACATTGAACTTGAGAAAGCAAACCACTTGTTCAGTATGGAAAAGCAGAAAGATGGGAGCTGGATACCCAATACAAATTGTGGACCGTCGTATCTTTTTACATGAGAGAAAAACAACCTACCGTATTTGCCGGCGTATAAGACAACTGGGCGTATAAGACGACCCCCTAACATTTCCACTCAAAATACAGAGTTTGTTATATACTCGCCGTATAAGACTAC